TTGTCTCTGGTTGCAGATAAGTTGATGGAATATGATTTGAATATAAAACAATGTGAGAGAAATTTCGAAAAAGCAAGACTGGAACGCCCACCAAGTTATTCAATGGTCCTTGATAATTTTGACATAATGGTCCACTCTGCTGATATCACATCAGATAACCAAATTAAAGATTATCACTGGTGCAACCACAATGCAGTATTAGATAGAATAAATCCAATCGAAGATGATTGTAAGCCAAAGCAATGTCTATCTGATACACCCAACATCACAATCGTACCTAGTTTGAAAGAGCAATCCGAAATTATTAATGACTTGGTAATCATGGTTGCTAGGGTTCAGGTTGAGCATTTTAATGAGTTTCAATCGTTTAAGAATGTTGTTCCAAATTATATAAAGCATAAATACTGGTTAACGGCAGAGTATCCGAGTTTGGAGGTAGGTGCCGTTGGTGGCCAAGGCTAGTCGGCGATCTAGCCTTGTCGGGCAAATGATCGCAATGGCAAACATTAGGCAAAACACTGGCAAACATTTATGGCAAACTGGCTGGCAAACAGCAATGGCAAACAGCTATGGCAAAACAGCAAAAAACGTAATAATAAGGCTAATTATAGTAGCAATAGGAGTTTGCCATGACAATTCTGCCAAGGCAGACCTCCGGCACCTGTCACACTGATGATCAGTGGAAAAAAGGACGCATTCTATAGTAGTCTATAGATTGTATCCTATAAAGAAAAACAAATAAAAAAAACAACCCGATACAACCAAAACAAAACAACAAAAAACAAAACTAAAACAAAAATAAAGAAATTAACCCGAGTATCAACAAACATTACCAGGGTGGGGAAAGGGCGAAGGGGAACAGAGCGAAAGAGCAGTTGTAGCTGGCTAGCCAAGCTGTAGCAAAGTGACGGATGCGCGAGAATTGCAACTGTTCTAAGTGACGTCAGGGGCTCCCCGCTGCTAGATACATCTGCCGTTAACTTAAATCTACGTTTAACCACATTTAAATAATTCAATTGGGCACCTTGTAAATCAAATGTTATCTCTTAAATTGCCCAAGAATTATTTTTGGTTGAAATTGGAAATTAATAGCGGCGTAAAACGGTGACCCCGAGGTTGTTGTACATTAGAGCTATTTTTCGAGTGTACTTACGTAATTCCAGGATGAAACGAGTATTTCTTTTTACTTCGAATTTGCCATGAAAAGGCATCGTGTCTTTCAGTTTTCTTCCATAAATAATAAAATTGAACTATATCTCCCACAGTCCTGCCAGGAATCTAAACTCAAGAGAAATATCCATCAACTACGGTATCAACAAAGTAGTCAAAGGTAACCTAGACAGACACTAAAGGTTCGTTTAAACCACTCCAACATGTTGATCAAACATCATCCTCTTCATTGTTCAGCTGCCGGATGCAACATGTTGGGTAAAATGCTCTACTAATACCGGTAGATCTTTACGGTAATTACGTCACGACTAACACTGTTTTCAACTTAGGACCACCTTAAATGGAATGGATTTTAAGTTTGTTTCTCACGGGCTATGGTCAGAGAAGCAGAACATCCTTCTTCAACACATGCACAAAAAAGAATTTTGGATTTTGACTATTAAATGTGGAAATAAACTTATACACAAAAACGAGCTAGACTGAGGGGGAAAAAGAGGCCATGGCCAATTCTACCAATTGAGTTATCGAGTACACTGGGAAGAGTTCAAATCCATATTTAAGCGCACGAGAAATTCTTGCGAGCTTATCAACTTAATTTAAACATTCTTACGATGGCAAGAGTATTTCAACTCTATTTCAGAGTCATCATCAGGGAAGCATGATACACAACACTGCGTTGTCAACATTGAGTTTAAGTAATATTCTGAATCAGGTTGAAATTTCATCCGTCATCGCGGCCAACATTGTTGGATCAACTATCGATGGATAAAAATTGTTGGATGAAGCCGGGATTCAAACCGACGAACATTCTTATGGAGATTTTTGTTGGCATCTCACTCGATTCAATAAAGGGCATTGGAGGGCATTGTAGATGGAAATCAGGGTCTTAGCCAGCCTACCGTCCAGCCGTCTTTTGGACGGCCATTTTCAAATTTGGACGGCATTCTAAAAAAGACAGCTTTTGGACGGTAAACATAGACATTGCTCACTTGCAAGCTGCCAAATCTACCAAACCAAATATTCCTAGGCCTAGCAAGGGTGGGTAGTAGCGAAGTAGTTGTAGTTCGCTACTGTAGCGAACTACAATTTTCAAGTAGCCAGTAGTTTTTTACTACTTTTTTAAAACAGTAGCTGTAGTTATAGCGAACTACATTTTGCCTAAAAGTAGCCAAGTAGTTGACTACTTTTCAAACAGCGAATCGCTGTTCGCTACTTTTTAAAATTGTTAGCAACCGTTCATAGAATAGAATGATATTAAGACACGGTTTGCTTAAAAGATTATTTTATAAAGTAAAGATTATTTTAGCGCAATGAAAAGTGACACTCCTGAACACTGTAGTGCTTACAAAAATGTTGCTTTGACCCTTTTTGTTTACTGTTGCTACTCGTAAGTCGATTTGTTATAGGTTATATTACAGCCTGAGCTAGTGGATGCTCCAAATACCGTAAAACTAGAAAATATAGAGTAGCGAAATAGCGAAATAGTTCGCTACATATTTTAAGCAGTAGCTGTAGTCAGTAGCGAACTACCTTTGTTCAAAAGTAGCAGTAGTTGTAGCTGACTACATATTTTTGAAGTAGCTGTAGTTATAGCGAACTACAGAAATTTTGTAGTCAACCCACCCTTGAGGCCTAGCTGCCAAAAACCGTAGAATATAACTATATAAGATAATTAGTTGCTTTTTTTTTTTTTGTGTGTGTTCTTCACTCGCACTATAGCTTATCAAAGCTACAGCAAGTACTGTATTTATAGCATGAAAGTGACAACATAATATCAATCATATAAGATTAATATATCGGCAGATTTACTTAAACTGTAGTACTGTAGTCAGTGTAGTGAGTAGTGACATAGTCTGAATAATTGAATGTATTATTAGTTTTTTGAGCGATTCTCAAGTGCAGTCACCGATTACTCCCAGCATTCGGAAATAATCACATTGAATTACTGGTGCATGAAGTGGTGCCATGCATATGGTTCCATATGGCAAACATTGGGTGTCATAAATGAAATTTCAAATTTGGACACCCAAGTTGCAAATTCTGGCTAAGACCCTGATGGAAATTATCGAGTGGAAATTTATATATATTTATTAGACTCACTTACATGAGCCAACCTGCAACTATTACCTTCGACCGTTGTATTGAATAGAAATCCTTTCCAAATTGCCTTAATCCTGTGGAAAAACAAGTAAGTGTTCAATACATATCTACAATTTCACAGACATGACAAAATTCAAAATCATTCCTATCGTATTAGTAGCATTTATAATGGACACGAACAAACAAGTATACCGGGTGGCCCAAAAAAAAGTACTCCTGTTTGATTCGTAATAACTTCTAAACAAGTAAAGTTTTTAAAGAGAAATAACTTGCATTAAATAGAGGAAGGACTAACTTAGATTTTGATATATTACAGTTGTATTTAACTTAAAAATTCACGGAGATATTAATGTTAAAAATGGGGAGCATATTTTGGAATGTGTCTAAAATTAGCGAAAATCGGCATATCAAATATTAACTCCAGCGTTTGTTTGCTTAATGACATATTAGGCTAACTTGTATTTCAGCGAATTATCGTTAAGGTTTGTAAGGGATATGGCGTAGATTTAGACATCTTACATGTAAGTCTTAGCTCATTGTTTCCTGAAATATGAACGTTCGAAATTATGCAAGTATTTAATATTAGGTCTTTGCAAACTTAAATGTACATGAAAGACTGACCATGGAAGGCAGGCGCTTAAATTTTTCGTATTCTTAAATAGCCTAATTTTTTTATGTTTTTAATGGGTTCAAACAGACTGAGTAGATTATTTCTCGGTTAGAGCAGGATGAATATTCTTTATTGAAGGAAATAATATTGCTTTTTGCAAATACACATCACCGTATCAACGCTACTATTTTGTTACGTTTTGTTCCAAAAATGTTGCATGTCTCTGGGGAGTTGCTTAATTGTTATGTCTTATGGAGTTGTATGGTTTGATTGTGTTTCATATAATTCTCAGTTTACTCCATGAACTTGCCAAGATTAAGAAACGGCAAAAGAGTTTGGGTGTTCTTAACAAGATTTCAGAACGTTGCAGAAGTTAGAAGAGCTTCACAATTCCGTTGTGACAGCATGCCCTAATTCAGAACTACGAACGATCCAATGACGATCCTTCGCGATGCAGTGGTCTCATGAAATAAGGAAACGTATTCGTGCTAGGAACACACGCGAATTTCGGACGAATGAATCTTGCTTGTATTTTGTAGATATAATAATACTTTGTTTCATAATAAACAATTTGTCAAGTGTCATTTATTTACTGGTAATAGTGCATGTTTCAGTCGGGCAAATCTTGATTAATATTTGATACGCCGATTTTTGCATATTTCAGACACATCCAGAAATATCCTCCCGAATTTAAAGATTAATATCTCCGTGAATTTTTAAGTGAAATACAACTGTAATATATCAAAGTCTAAGTTAGTCCTTCCTCTATTTGATGCAAGTTATTTCTCTTTAAAAGCTATACTTGTTTAGATGTTATTACGAATCAAACAGGAGTACTTTTTTTTGGGCCACCCGGTATGTATAAGGGGTAAGATGGCATTGCATTCCGTTTGAATTTTTCATAGTATAGGTTGGATATAACGAATAAAGCATTTCTCTCGGATGTGAAGGCAGGGGAGAGTCCTACTTTTTCTACTTTACTTCTACCTAATATTATTTTACCCCTGGTTCCGTATATAGGTTACGGCCGAGTGTTGGACTATTTATCTTTCTAGTGATAGAAACTTGATATCCTGCACGAGTGGCATTTTCACTAAACGAAATCAGGGAAAATTACCTAATTCAAAATTACGACATTCTTCTTCAGACCAAAACGTCATTTCTATAAAAAACACGTTGTTATTAGTACTTTACAATATTAAAATGAAGTAAATGAGGTGGACGGAAGACATTGACAGGTTTTACAACCCAACCAACAATGAAGTCGACAAGTTTCCAATATTCTCTAATATTGTGTAGAAAGAAGTGAATTAAGTTTTCACAAAATAATTTGATAAAAACAAACAAAAAGCAAAACTAGAACAACAAATATTGAAGGCACGATAGCCTTTCTGTCTTCTGGCAACTTTTGGAGTCTGTTATAATGCTTAAAAGTTTTCAAAACTAAAACACCAATACGCAAAACGCATAAGAATAGTTCTGCTGTATTTCGACTGTCAACTTTCCATGTGCTAAAGGCGTCAAAATATTTTTTTAAAAAACTAGCGAATGTTTTCAAACTTAATAATATACATAAAAATATTACTCGACCGTGATTGGTTGATTTCAGTACATCCCAAACAGCAGTGCATTTTTTGTAATCACAGTACAATTTTCTGTAATCACAGTGCAAAAATCTGTAACAAACTGGTCTGATTGGTGGGAAAACAATGTGATAAAATCAACCAATCAGGTTAAAGCAGTTCTCAAGTAACGGTCACAGATTGCTTCAAAACAAAACAAACATGGCGCCGCTTTTGACTTCGGTTGGAAAATATGGCTTTTATCTTTTTTTTAAATGGAAAAGCCTTAACCTTAAAAAAAACAAAGCTTACATATAGACATATAGTTGAGTGAATTTTTCAAGCTGTTAGCGTTGTATGTGATATAACAAAGCCAGGAAAACTTTGCCAGTGGACGGTTCGCTAAAAGTTACAACTACAATAGTCTCGAAAATTTTTTATGTATATTATGAATACGTACAGTAATAGGATAGTTTCTCGTGAAATTTGGATAAAACAAGCACTCGTGAATTTTTCAAAGACCTCAGATAGCACTCGAATAAAAAACTCGAAAACTCGGAAATCAACGCCCACATCAACTGTTGTGAACATTTTCAGCACATCAAATCCCTTATGGAACTTTCACCTGACTCAACTAACCCCTAGACCACTGGTCTCTGTTGTTATTTAAGGAGTCTCTTGCTATACGCAGACGAAAACCTGATCTTAACCACGGTGCGAAAGCTTCCAAAGAACTTATCATATTTCATTGACTTATTAAGCTCCGCCTTTCTTGGCTTTATAATAGCTGCATCTGTAATTTTACACTATTCATAATCCTGAGGATGACTACAAACTAGTGGAAACGTGGATTAAAAATCAAAATGTTATTCGGAGTTACTGTTATTTTGTATTTTCTTAAAATATTGAGTGGTTCCCGTAATTAAATAGCACTCGTTCTTCGACTCGTTCTATTTTGATGCTCTTTGAAAAGCTCATTCGTGCATGCTTTATCCAAATTGCACTCGAAACCATTTATTACCTATTAATTAATAACAACAAGTTAAGCTGGATTTCCACTTGCAAGCAGTCACGTGGAACTCATTTAATTAAGTCACAATTCAAAAGAAATCAAGCAAAACATTTTGACAACGAAATATTTCTCTATAAGTGGAAATCCTCTCTAACACGCATGCATCAATATTTTCGCTCAACAGTGAAAAATATTGTGAATCACACAGAAAAACGTGACACAATGAAAAATGTCTTTCGGACTTTAATCACTATTCGCATTATTAAGCCCGGATGAAACGAGGATGAGAGTTGCAGCCACGTGACCTTTATTAGCTGTTCTTATTGCTTTCTCAGAAGATATCAAAAGCTTTACGTGACCTTCGTTAGCTGTTCTTATTGCTTTCTCAGAAGATATCAAAAGCTTTACGTGACCTTCGTTAGCTGTTCTTATTGCTTTCTTAGAAGATATCAAAAGCTTTACGTGACCTTCGTTAGCTGTTCTTATTGCTTTCTCAGAAGACATCAAAAGCTTTAAAGCTACCTTGCCTTCAACATCCATCGCCATTTTGCTTTCGGTTTGATTTTATCAAAGTATTCTAAAAAAACATGCTATCTACATAATATCACAGAATATCTGATGCTATAATTACCATGCAATGCGCAACGCCGTTTTTTTTTTATCATGGAGGATTGACAAAGGTCTCCAAAGGTTAGTTAGTTGAGATCAAGTGCAGTGAAGTAACCAACCTAAGTTAAATCTCTGCCTCGACCTACAATAGTAGGCCAAACTCAGACGTGAGGAGCAGTCCGTTAACCGCATGTGTGATCTGTCACACATGAAGATGTTGTGATGTAAACAACGAAACGCAAGACATTAAATTGTATTCCTTTTGTTATGTCCTGTTTGAAAAATCGTTTGCTACGTCTTTACATCATGAAATAATGTTTATAATGGAAGTACCTGCAGTACCTTGAGACGGCGGTGGTTGAGATTTAAATTTGTTTATGGCTTCTTCACAGTTGTAGTTACATTGCAGTAATACGTATAGTGCCTAAATAAGGAACCAACGTCATATGATTTTTGTGAAATAAATTAAACTGTCAATCACATACTGCAGTAGGGTATCCTATACTGTCAATATTGATCCAACAAACCTGCTCGTCATCTCCCTTGCTCATCACACACGACGTTCCTCCGTCCCAGCCTGATCCACAAACTGTGTCCACGTACTTTTGTACTGAAGAAAAAGACATTATTAGTTCTCCATATTTGATTTACTTGCTAATGTTCAGAAATGTACAATGGACCAATCCCCAATTAACCAAAATTTTGATCTCAACAAGTCTAGACAAAATTCCATCATAGCATGAAAGAGCATCACAAAATTAGTAATATTCCAAAGTTTCGTTGCGAAATGTTGTACAATGCGGATAATATAGCTTTGCGAAATTTGCAATTTTCAGTCATTTTGTATTACGAGCGGGAAACGGTTGTACCACTTTTCCAAAATTTTAATCTTAACTAGCCTAAACAAAAATTTCATCACAGCTTGAAAGAGCATCACAAAATTAGTAATATTCCAAAGTTTCGTTGCAAAATGTTGTAAAATGCGGATAATATAGCCTTGCGAAGTTTGTAATTTTCAGTCATTTTGTATTACGCACAGAAGTGGTAACCATTTCCCGTTTGTAATCTAAAATGGCTGAAAATTGCAAACTTCGCAAGGCTATATTATCCGCATTTTACAACATTTTGCAACGAAACTTAGGAATATTACTAATTTTGTGATGCTCTTTCAAGCTGTGATGAAATTTTTGTCTAGACTTGTTGAGTTCAAAATTTTGGTTAATTGGGGATTGGTCCATTCATGCGTAGTTTTCTGTCACTTACATTTCTGTTCAGCTATTCCCTTGGGACTCCACAAACATTTGCTATCGTGTTTTTCATCTGGAAACACAAAGAAGTAAATAAGACCAAACAAAGGTATAGCCTGGTATTGTCATACACGGTAATACATTACAACACACTATGACAGTACAACACAATACAGCGTAGCACAGTACAACGCAATACAACATACAACAGTATACAACACAACACAACACAACATAGCACAGCACAACAACACAACATAGCACAGCACAACAACACAACATAGCACAGCACAACAACACAACATAGCACAGCACAACAACACAACATAGCACAGCACAACAACACAACACAACATAGCACAGCACAGCACAACACAACACAACACAACACAACACAACACAACACAACACAACGTGTCTAAAAAAAGGAGGAGACCTTTAGAAATTCGCCTTATTATTATAATTTGAATGCCTGAGTACTATACCAAACCCATGGGTGCGTCAACACAAATGAATGAATTTTATGCATGTACTGTACTTTGAGTTTGCCTATAACTGACACAATCTTAACATATCTTTGCTCCGTGGTCAGTTGAACCATTGTTACTCGAACTGATAGTGTGACTAATTTGTAATTCGACTATTTTTGTGTAGTTATTCTCCTTTAGGCTATTAGAAGATATTTTAAATTCCCAGGGGCAGAAAACATTGTGCTTAACAAGGATATTTATCCTTTTTTAATATATTATACCTCAAATTCAAAGTGTCCAACAGAAAGCTAAGTTTGTGCCACGTGAGCATGAAATTTATCATCGAATCACGCCTTACGTTGATACGATCATGTCATCCGGGTGATATAATTCGCGTAAACCACACGCGGCGATCACGCAAACAAGATGGCCGACAAAATATACTATAAAGGAGTGATGAATTATTGAGTTTTCAAACTTCAAAGAAAGCTATTTTTTTAATTATGAAGCAAATTTTGAAAAAATGTTATCATCAATATTCCAAACGATTATATGTGATTCGAAACAAAAGCGTCAAATACTTGCGTTAATAAAAAAATAAAACAAGTTTTATATATTCTTTTAACTTTCGGTATAATATATCATTTATAGACCCTCCGTTCGGGGTATTCGGCGAAATATTACCCGAAGTGATGATATTTCCCTCGGGGCAATGTCCCTCGGGAAATATCTTCACTTCGGGTAATATTTCACCGAATCCCTCTTGTTCCAGGTCTATAAATGATAAATATGCACCCTGTCAATATTTTACGTATCCTTGTGTTCAGCATAGTGGTCAGGCATTCAAATTATAACAATAGGATACTTTCTAAAGGTTTCCTTTTTTTAGACACCCTGTACAACATAGCACAGTACAATACGATACAGCATAGAATAGTACAATACAACATAGCATAGTACAATTATACAACATAGCATAGTACAACACGATACAGCATAGTACAACACAATACAGCATAGCACAGGACAGAATATTCCAAAATTACCTTCATCTGTGTCAGGACAAGTTGTTTCAGGAACTTCAGCTTGATGTTCAGGTCCGATATGAATTTCCTAAAAAAAATGTTTTAATTGTTTACCAGTTGCATTTGAAGCGTACGCATGGTTGAACACCTTACTTGGCTAAACTGCTTACTACTATCGGGAAACAAGACTAAAGGTAGGTTTTGACAAATTACAAAATGCAGAATCTGTCATTCTCAAAGATATGAAAAATATTAAAAGAGGAGAACAGCAGAAAACTTTAGAGAAATCCAAACGATCATTAAATCTTGAGTAAACATTTATCTTCTTAGTAAATCTAACAAGTACTCTATTTCGTGGACTATACAGTATTTGTTCCCAATGAGAAAGTGAAAGCTACCAAATCAGATACAACTCTTGCAAAATAATCACATACTTTCTTCCAATCTTCAGCAGGAGCGTAATCTTCATCAGAGGACGAGGAATCCGAATCAGGAAAATATTGGTATGCTGCAGCCACTGTTAAAATATTGAGCAAAATACAATTATTTAACATTATGATTTCACTAAATCATTGATATGTACAAGTATGTCAAAATCGCATTTCTTCAGCGCACTCGCAATGTTTAACTCTTTGAAATCAGGCTCTATATAAACTGAAAAAGATACATAGAGTCAGATCAGAGATTTCTCTCGTTTCGTACAGGGTCTGGATTTCGAATTAGTTTTGTACTAGGGAGGCTGCGGTATTCGTGATAAAGTCGATGACTTTGTCCTAGCAGGAGTACCTATTAAAGAGTATTCAGTCGAGTTGCATAATTTTAGTATCAACTATTCTGCACTGAATTGTTGACATTAACCAATTATCCTGTGATGAAGGACCTTGGATAGAAAAGCCTTTATTTCCTGCCTATATTTTTCAGGCTGTTTAGAACCAAGACACGATATTTTTGTAGAACATCCAATCTGCAGGATATCTATCTCAACGTCTGTATCAGTTGTTTCCGAGACTGAAGAGACTTGAAGTCTACTTCATCTTGTAGCCAGATACTTTGGTAAAACTTACATCCTCTTGTGATTCTCTGATTTTCAGGGGGGTTGACGCTGGAACTTTGTGAGGGGGAGGCAGAGCGGGGAGAATCTTGGGGTATAGGAGATTGTGTGGGTGAGATATCTACACCATTCTGTTGCATATCTTCAGTATGGTCATCATATGGTGGTAACGGTTCTGGCTGTATATCATCTAATGGTACATGGCCATCACCTCGGTCATTAACAGGATTATAATAGAAAGCTAATAAATCTTCAATAGGTACTTCAGCATCCTGTAGGGGATAAATATTTGTTTTGTCAGGAGACATATAATAGACAGAGGAAATATTTACCTTATTAGTACATACCATTATTTATGGTACAGTAATTGTGGAGCTATACGTCTGTAGGAGTGGGTGGTAGCACGTGATGTGGAGTGTTACTATTCAGATATAGACTACGCAGAAAAATAAACAACCAATTTTGGACACATTTCCATGTTTTCTTAAAGGGAAATTTAGAACTGCATAAACAGGGACGTTGCGAAGCTTAAAAGCGAAAAAATAGTCGAATATGATGTTTGTGATGTTACTCTGAGTGTGCATCCACTCCGGACAAGCTGAAGAGTTGCCAGCTTGCCCGGTGTGGATGTACACTCAGAGTAACATCACAAACATCATATTCACCTGAGTACATAACACCAACACACACAAAAATATCATAGTCGAATTGAAGATTTGTAATAATGAAGATTTGATGTTGAAAAACCAACACATGTGTCTCACAATGGGCCTAACATTTCATGGTTGACACGCATAAAAATCCCGGACGTTCCATGCTCAGCAGACTACTGTCTGGATTGTGCTCAAAAGTACTCTGCTAGTCGTCTGCAGGAAGCATTCTTTCACACTTGGTAAGTCTTGGGGCTCGGCTCAAAGAATTTTACGTGAACTAGATTTTCAACGTTACGAGTTGCTAATTATAATAGACTCTTCATTTCCATAGGCGGCGGAAGAACGGTTTGGTTTCATTTCCTGCGTCTCGGGGAAGATGCAGTCAGACAACGTAACGGTTCAAAAACCTAACCACTCATTCATAATCTAACCATAAATTTGCATTTCAGACAGCGAAGGCTCCTCCCCACCTATATTTACCTCCTGTTTCTCTGTCCCTGTACGTAAGTGACTTTTAGAGAAATAGAATGGGGGTCTTGGGGTCCTCCCCAGAAACGTTTTATATTTTTGATGCTGGATAGATTTTATTCTTGGTTTTTGATGTTCGATGGATTTTATAGCTTCGTAGCAGCACATTTGTTTAGAACTGCACAATTGGGTTTAGGAGTTAGAATTGCATATTTTGACTTTCTTAATTAAATGAATTTGAGTTCATGATACAACTGTCTATAGCTATTTTGATATATAGGTATCGTGTAGGATATAACTTACAAATAGCAATGGATGTTGTATGTGTTAGCTTGTGTGCCATGATAAATATACTAAATTTACAGGACGTATGTGCAACTGGTCATTTTCAGTGATTACGAGTATGACGGTAGCCGCGAATTCAGCCTCATGTTCATCCCCAAATTCAAAGGGCCTTTGCTTGATTATATCGATCCTTAATTTAAGAAAGGGCTGAAAACGGGTTTATCCGTAAAATATTAGGGTAATTGATGAACCTGCACGGGGGAACAAGGGACCTCCACGCGCATTCACTATATCTATGCCAATTACATATATCAACTAGAGGGCACTCAGAGACTGCATACCTCCGCCTACGCGCAAAATATTGAAGTAATCTATTGTTATTAGAATTTGAATGGCTGGTGCATATATTATGCACGTCCTAATTACGCATTCAGTATAAGTTTTATTTAATTGACCGGGAAAAGCAAGACAAACTTTTGTTATTTCTCATTCAATTTTTAACCAAATTCAACCAAATTTTAATCAGTTCTTCCTTAGCCGATGGGAAATGCACTCACAAAATTTCGTACGGATATGTTTGGTATTTCTTGAGTTATCGTGCTCACAGACAAACACACACACACATACACACACACATATACACACACACACACACACTAATTTCATTAATTTGTTAGCGATTCTCAGCAGCCTTTCGCGCTCGTATTCGACTTTTCCGCTTTGCTCGTGGACAACCTTAATTGAAATAGCTGTATGTCTTACAATTTGTGGGTATATAGCCCGCGCATTTAACTGAAGTGTGGAGGATCGTACTGAAATATGTTGTACTGTATATTATCTAACAACTATACAAACTTCTAGACGAAGGGTCTTAGCTGGAAACGTCGAAGGTTTTTTAGTATGTCAGAATATATGCAGAACTACGTCGTTGAACTGATACACTAAGAATCAAAACATTTGCGAGTATCCATTCATAATGTGGTCCAGAATTTTACACAGTGTACACCTGTAGTGTACACCTATGGTGCGACAGTCTAGAAAAACCGACATATTCAAAATTATTTAGTATGACCAACTGACTGTCTGTAAAAATATACCATACTATACGAGCATATATAAATTACAGTCACGATTACAGGTTACAACGAATGAACTTCTTTCACCATATAGAAAGATTTGCGCACAATCTAGTTATGCGCGAATGTTTTAATACTCCAGTATGCTTTAGGGAATTGTATGCCCTTGTTACCATCATTCGGTGGCACAGGCCTAGAATACACTAAATTCAGGGCCGTAGGGGTGTATGGGGTGTGACACTCCCACTGAAAACATCTTGTCGGCAAAATAACGGATTTATCGGAAAATTGTTTTTGTAGTCAGCGAAAATATTGGAGTGGCTGGGATTAAAAAGTAATAGTTATACTTATAGCAAACATTTTGATAAATTTACGAAAATATTATCGAAAATTTTAACAAATTACGGTACATTAATTCGAAAGTTAGTGGAAAATGGTATGTCCCGAACATTTTGTATACTCCCCGCTCGCCAACAATTTTGGGAAAAGAAAGATTAATTAACGACTGAAATGGTGTCAACAAATGCGATACTACAGCCCCCCCCCCCCCTGCTTTAGCTTCTTCGCTACGGCCCTGACTAAATATTGAAGAATGAGACAAATTGGTCTGATATACTGAACATTGCACACCGTCCGTGGACGTCCGTGAACGTCTGCGAGTCAATTTGAACCAGGCGGTGGTTCAATACACTGTAGAAATATATTTACTTTCATACTGTATATGACATGAACCATAACACGACGAAAATATCAAACTTGCGCGTGTTCAAATATTTCAGAGTATAGAATTACAGCGCTTCAACTTATATATTAAGAATCAAAGCATTTATTTTCCAAATTCCACACAATCGTGCCTTAATATTCAAGGATGTTGTACAGAATTTCACGCTCTTTCCTACGGTATAGAGCAATATGGTGGCACAAGTCTGACAAAACCGAATGTCAAATACGTCTCATTAAAATATCAGAAAATGAACTTCTATATTAAATCAGAAAGCATTCAAAATATTTTATTCTAAACTCATCTGGCATATCTTTGTAGTGAAACAATGTGGCCGAAACAAAACTCATATCAACGATTGGTAAGTTGATTATTCAACTGCATGAATGATCAACTGTTCATTATTCAACCGCAATTTTATCTCGACTCGAATGCGCAGTCGAGAACAGAAGACCATAATCATATATACCTCATTCTCAATGCGAATTTTCACTCTATCAAAGAACCTGTCTCGAAAGTTGTTCATGTTGCGTCTCCAAGCCGTGTACAGCTGTTTCCTATGTGACTTTGAATTTCCCAGCTTGCATTTTTTTAACAATTGTCCCCAATAACCGCCCTCTTTTCTCCATCCTTCATGAGGATATCCAGTACACGGCAGCATCATCTCAATAACAGTCTCAAAATTTAATTGTGCTGTTTTCTTTCTAGTAAATACCTGAGTAGAAAAACGATTTTTTCAAACAATTCCGACGGCGCATTAAAATGTACACTTTACTTTTAAACGTCGAACTTGTGCACTTACCATATCTATTTGATTTCAATGCAACGATAACAGTTAGAGTCGAATATTAGATGTTGTATTGTATGTATTGTGTAAATGATATACATACTCATGTCTGCAAATTTGCAATGTAATACGACCCACAAAGGTTGTGTGCGTGCAATGAGGAGTTCAAATACAGTAAAGTGTCAAATGATGGTTTGCGTAGGTTTGACATATGTCATACCACAGGGTCATACAGATTCAAACCCCTGGAGTTTCGCGTATAGAGCAATCGCCGATCGGTACAAAGTCATTCTTTATTACTCACAATCTGACAATACTGTATATCATTTTGGAAGAGCGTAAACTCTGTACAATACACTCGCATTTCAAGGAAATCGTATGATTCGATTTTGTGCAAATGCTTTCTGACTTGATTGCTTTCAATCGTTGTAATTATCTAGTGTACAATATTTACAGTCACGTATTAAATTGTTACTTGAATAAATTTTGATAATTTCGATTTTTCTAGGATTGTGCCACCATAATGATATTGTGCTTGAGAGTGAAATATTCATAAGAGAGTGAGAGTACTTCACACGGAGTGTAAAACAAGTCGAATATCAAAGCAATCAAATAACTTGATTCTGCGCCATTGTTTTCTAGATATACAAGTTGACATTCTGAAATTCTATACTCTGTTATGACAGAACCTAAAACTTCATAAATTGTGACAATGTCGGGTTTCTTACGCTCGTGCCAGAATAATTAACAATTAGACAACGAGGCCGAGTTGTCTATCAGCGAATAGTCAACGAGGCGAAGCAGAGTTGACTATTTGCTCATAGACAACGAGGCCGAGTTGTCTAATTGTTTTAGTATAAACTTTAACATTAATTTACAACTAGGCTGCAAACACAAAAAAAAACATTATAAAACCATTAAAGGTAAACAAATATTTTAGTTTTTGTTCGCGTAAAATGTTTTACAAAATTCAGTTTTAATTTTAAAATTTTATTGAGTGTATGTTATTTTGTCTATTTTCTTACCCTTAAAAATTGCCATTCCATATTTTTGTTGCTTTTTCGGGTTTTGTTAGTACAGAATTGTTCAACAAGTCGTCCAAAAAATCATCAGACACTTCGGCAAAAGTGCAAAACGCGAATTTTCCGCCATTTTAAATTTTCTATTAGTAAGGCTATCACTAATAGCCTACTAGTAGCGTAGCCAATCAGAAGCCACGATATGTGATAGCCTACTAGTAGGTTTATACTAATACCGTATAGTAGCGGGAAAAGTGTAAAGCAATCGCATGATTGGATTCTGCCCAAATGCTCTGCGAATATAGGAATTGAATCTCTTATCAGATTTTGGGCATCCACACTCGATCTAGCCAACTGCAGAAGGGCTCTATACCTGCATGCAGGGCTCTGTACTGTAGATGGAAATTTCGAGTGTGAATTTTATACATTTATTAGACCTGACCACGAGCAGTTATATCTCGTAACAGTCTCTTATCATCATGCAGGATTAAATTAATAGAATGGTGATTAATCAAATTTTTCTAATATGTGAGGGCAAAACTAGACCTGATGGATTTTATTCTGGGCAACCAATTTTCATGTCTAACTTGCCCTAATCGGAAGTGGTAAGAATAGTAAAGTTACAATACCGGTATGGTGATATACATCATAGATTCAAGGATGGCTGTATGTAACCACTTCAATATTATTATTACAGAGCTTTAGGTACGAGTACCTGCAGTATTCAAATCCAAAGGTCCGTATTAGGAGGTTTATAATTACATTGACTTTATATGCAGCCACAGGCGAGAGACCATTACTAGCACGGCGATCGTGTTCTGTCGTCTTGTTGCAGCAGCATGACTACCCTGCAGACGTTAACGTCAATGTCTATGTTTCGTAGACGAGATACCAGCAGCTTCAGGAACGGCGAGGGCGTGGGGCGGAGGAGCTTCATAGAAGAGCTCGCATAACTGAACGCTATACCCAGAACAGAAAACTGTACTATCTCGATCATCAAGGTATCTTCACACAGCACTGGCAATAACTGCAAGTTAGACTATGATTGGACGAAATTACACGGTCTAATTTTTTATTGAGTTTCTCACTCATTGGTGAGCGGATTTCCCAATTGATTGGGGATCCGAGATACCTACGATTTTACGTCCTTATCCGAGAAGACACGAAAGTCTAACCATTTACTGGTGTCAATGTAAAGGTAGCTCTTTCTCCTCAATTATTTTAAGATCTGGAGTAGGATCAAGGATTGAACCTGGGTCTCCCAGCTTCTAAAGCAAGCGTGGTAACCACGACACCAGTCTAACAGTACATGAGAGGATGCATCGATGGTATATATTTGTGACTATATAGCTACTGACAGCTTAACTGCACTACAGGTATACTCCATCGTCTGATGTCAAACGTAAGTATAGGAGCAATGGAAATAATCTCTTTAAGGTGATTCATCAGTAATTGTTCTGGAAATGAGAATTTGCTGAAACTTCCCAGAGGTGAAGTTTATGATATGCTCATACTCATAGTAAAGACAAACATAGTAAACAGCAGTTGGTATAGAATATTCTCTCATGAACGACATACTGTATGCTGCAATAGTTGCAACATCAGCAAATAACCCTAGGCACAGTAGAGATCTTCATCTTACAGTTCTTGTATCATCATGTATGCCTTACGGTATTACTGCGTTTTTGATCACATGTCTTGGCCACATAGAGTAGAACTTTATTTAACCACGCTTCCCTCATCACCCATATGGATGATTTTCATGAGGGGCGTCACACAAATTACATTCTAAAAACTAATATAAATTAAATATGAAATAGAATAACACAGAATAACAAATACGTAGATAAAAAAGTTAAAAAAAACCCCAAGACTATTCGATGCCTGACTCGGTTGCACACATTATTTTATCAAATTTTTGAAGCTACTTAAAGATTCTGTTTGCTTTGCCTGCGTAGGTAAACTATTCCATAGAACAGTCCCGCTATATCCAAAACTCTTTTTTAAATATTCAGTACGTGGTTTAGGAACTGAAAGATTTATATCAGCATTTCTGAGATTATAATTAGGCTAATGTGCCTTGTTATAAATTTATCCTTTAAGTTCGGAGCTGAGTGGTTGTTTAATATTTTACACATCAGGACCGATTTATTCATTTTATGTCTGTCGTTCAGATTTTTCCATGACATAGCATGGAGCAAATCTGTCGACCTGACATCATAATTGGCACCTGTCATAATTCTTTCCGCCCTATTTTGTAGTTTTTGTAATTTCTCTTTGAGCATGCTTCCACAATTATCCCATAAAGATGAACAATAGTCAAAATATGGGATGATCTTTTGATGATTCCAGTATACCAGAGCCAACTTTCCTACATATTGTGTCTATATGGTTTTCCCAGCTCATTCTTTCATCTAGTTCTACTCCCAGACATGGAAAAGAGGAATATCGAGTAACCGGTTTATCATTTATCATAACCTGTTTATTACCAACTTTGTTTTTTAAGTTATAGGGTGATCCTATAAACATTAAGTTTGGTTACTAGTTCGGAGAAACTTGCGGAAGATGCATATATTTGAGTATCGTCAGCATACATGCCAGGAGTTGTGTTTTTCAGACATTCTGGCAAATCATTTATATATAGTAAAAACATGAGGGGTCCAAAGATAGATCCCTGTGGAACTCCGCATACAATTTCCTTAGCCAACGATGTGTGACCATCGACAACACAAACTTGGCTTCGTTTCGTCAAATAGGATTGGAACCATTTTAGCTCAAAATCTTGAACACCAAACTGGTCTTGCATCTTCCTTAATAGGATTTTATGATCAATAGAGTCAAAGGCTTTCCTAATATCAACTGAAATTAATCCGGTTATTTCTCCATTATCCATATTTTCAAACCAATTGTCACTCATTTCTATTAATAAGGACAGTGTCGAATGTTTGGGCCGGAAGCCCGATTGAAAACGTGAAAGCAGAGAATTGTCTATCAGATATTGATAGAGCTGTCCAAGTACTTCTTTCTCAAATAATTTGCTGATAATGGGAAGAATAGATATCGGGCGATAGTTTTCACATTTCGTTCTATCTTCTGTTTTATAAACAGGTATTACCCTAGCTCTTTTCCAATCATCAACATACATCCCAGTAGAAATTGAGAGATTAAATATATAGGTCAAGGATGGGGCAATAATATCGCGAGATAATTTCAGCATTTTGGCTGGTATTCCATCAGCCCCGGTAGCCTTGGATACTTTTAGATTTTTCAGGTTTTTTAGAATATTGGATTCAGTAATTGTATGGAAATAGAATTTTGAATTTACACCAGTTGAATTACAATGCAAGTCTTCATAATCCGAAAGACGTTCACATTCAGCAGCGAGTGTTGGGCCAATATTAACAAAATAGTCGTTTAAGTGTTCAGCTATTTGTTTGCGATCATTATATATTATCCATTAATATTAATTTCTGCAATATTAGATGATTTCCCACCTTTGCCCAATAGGGTGTTTATCAGTGACCATGTTTTTTTTTCATGTCTTTAGCTAGGGAAAATTCCTTAATTCTTGTTTGATAATAGACAGTTTTGGCCATTTTCATTTCCGAGTTAACTTTATTTCTCTCCGATTTATATTTATCCCATGCAGTGAACCTGGGAATTATATTTCTTTGCTCTCTTTTTATGATAGTCTCTGGATCTTATTACTTTTTAATGTTGGGATTTATCCAGGGAACAGAATTGTGCTTAATGCTTTTATAAATTAAGGGTGCACGTCTGTCAAGAGCTTCCAAAAAAAAAGACTTCCAGACATGCCAATTATCGTTCGGGTTCATATACTGTGTAGCTAAATACCAAGGTATTCTGGACAGTTCCTCAATAAAATCAGTTTCATTAAATCTTTTGAAATTTCTAACTTTGGAACGGGTTTGCCTATATTTAGGCATGGTCACTTTTTTCACATGGTCACATATGTCTTGGCCACAGTACTACTACGTTTCCCCCCGATTCAATCAAGTAACGAAGAATGGTGTTTATCTGTATTTATTTTTGTTTGACATGTTATACATGTCAAACTCGCGTATCTCAGCATTCTGAGTCGGTATAGGACCAGTATAATATCACACCATGTCGAACCACATAGTCAGTAGCTGAAGGATCACAGCTTGTAACTGTCTGTTCATTGTTATGTGTGGTAGCTTGGACTAGTCATGTGACTAGTTTCTATCTATATGTATTCCCCACCTATGACAGGACAACATGTTTGCTGGATTCTTTTGTTTGCATTCTTTGTGCATGTCTGCCAACTTCGTGGCAGCTTCGTTAATAACTTCATCCTTTCATGATTTGCACCATTTGGTTATTCCAGAAAACATCCATAGCTCCCCCACGGATGGATTGGAAATTAATCCCCCTACCCCCTTCAGACGGCCTGATACACAAATGTTTCTTCCCTCCCTCTCTGGACGGCAGACATTTCCTCCATGGGGGGAGTGTGGATCTTTTCTTGACTGACCCATTATAAAACAGTAGCAATTAGTTCGCAGTGTGTGACATATTTTTTGACAAGTTATTCTCGGTTAACGTTTGTATTGGAGGAGGCTAGTTTGTCCTATGGAAGCCTTTATATTCCAAGCAGAAATCGAGAAAAACAACTTTGTAATAAAGCAATATAAAGTCACACAAGAAGCCATTTTGAAAGCGTGTGCGTACAAGAAACACTGCAATACTATTAGTGAACAGGCGAAAAACAGTTTTATTTCTGAATTTTAATTGAACTGATATTTGCATATTTTGTTTAATTCATTTATTTAAAAATTTATACTAAAACAATTATTCGCCTCAGGCTCAGTGATTACGGTGAATATTCACCGGTAATCACTTCGCCTTCGGCGAATAATTGTTAAACAGTATATTGCGAATCAATAATGTTCGAGTGGCTAAGGTAGATTGGCGGGGATCAACTCTAATATTAACAATGATGTAATCTTTAGTATTCCGCTACTAACCAAAGAAGAGGTTTGCAACTATTTACGTAACTTGGACACCCGCGAAACAACCGGACTTGACGGCTCCTATATTCCTATTCCTATATTCGCACAGCATTTGGGCGAAGTCCAATCATGTGATTGCTTCACACTTTTCTCGCCACTATGCAAATTATCCTAGAAACCCGAAGTCACAAAATTCTAAAGATGTCAGCCAGTCAAATAGCTCCATCGTTGACCAATGGCAATGTGTTTAACAAAAGTTTAACATCTGGAATATTTCCAACAAAATGGAAAACATCAAAAATCATCCCAGTTTATAAATCTGGTGTTCAGTCTGATGTCAATAGCTACAGACCCACAGCCATACTTAGGCTTAGCGTTGGTCAGTGAACTGCTCGAGCGTCATGTTCATTTTTATCAGTTTCTCGTGAATCATAATCTATTACATCAGTCAGTCTGGTTTTGGGAGAATTCATTCATGTGAAACGGCGTTATGCAAGCCTCGATGCAAGCTTGTGAATATCTGGACATCCAATATGGAGAACGAACAGCCTTTTAAATGGAGTGGTATCTATTGATCTTCGTAAAGCGTTTGACATGGTTGATACAGAATTGTTACTACGAAAACTTGCAGTTTCCAATGTGAGGATCTGACATTAGCCTAGTTTAAGTTGTACTGTACGATTACTACTTACAGGAAAGGAATCAATGTGTACAGAGGAACTTTATCATCTAAGAAATCTAACCTGTCCCCCAAGAAATTGATTATTCATACTGTAACATTTCTCAATGATCTGCCACTATATGTCTGCCACCACGTTATGCAAGCCTCGATGCAAGCTTGTGAATATGTGGACATCCAATATGGAGAACGAACAGCCTTTTAAATGGAGTGGTATCTATTGATCTTCGTAAAGCGTTTGACATGGTTGATACAGAATTGTTACTACGAAAACTTGCAGTTTCCAATGTGAGGATCTGACATTAGCCTAGTTTAAGTTGTACTGTACGATTACTACTTACAGGAAAGGAATCAATGTGTACAGAGGAACTTTATCATCTAAGAAATCTAACCTGTCCCCCAAGAAATTGATTATTCATACTGTAACATTTCTCAATGATCTGCCACTATATGTCTGCCACCACGTTATGCAAGCCTCGATGCAAGCTTGTGAATATGTGGACATCCAATATGGAGAACGAACAGCCTTTTAAATGGAGTGGTATCTATTGATCTTCGTAAAGCGTTTGACATGGTTGATACAGAATTGTTACTACGAAAACTTGCAGTTTCCAATGTGAGGATCTGACATTAGCCTAGTTTAAGTTGTACTGTACGATTACTACTTACAGGAAAGGAATCAATGTGTACAGAGGAACTTTATCATCTAAGAAATCTAACCTGTCCCCCAAGAAATTGATTATTCATACTGTAACATTTCTCAATGATCTGCCACTATATGTCTGCCACCACGTTATGCAAGCCTCGATGCAAGCTTGTGAATATGTGGACATCCAATATGGAGAACGAACAGCCTTTTAAATGGAGTGGTATCTATTGATCTTCGTAAAGCGTTTGACATGGTTGATACAGAATTGTTACTACGAAAACTTGCAGTTTCCAATGTGAGGATCTGACATTAGCCTAGTTTAAGTTGTACTGTACGACTACTACTTACAGGAAAGGAATCAATGTGTACAGAGGAACTTTATCATCTAAGAAATCTAACCTGTCCCCCAAGAAATTGATTATTCATACTCTAACATTTCTCAATGATCTGCCACCTCTGGCACAAATATGTATGCTGATGATTCAACAATTCATACTAGTGCTGAGGAACTCAATGTCAAGTTAACTGAGGATATGGCAAATGTTCATAAGTGGTGTGCCAATAACAATATGGTGATCAATCATACTAAAACAAAAGCAATGACCATATCAACTTATCAATGTGCAACCACATTAAACTCAGACCTACATGTAGAATTTACTGGAAAATACTGATAATCAACTGGAAAATACTGATAATCAGAAATTACATGGAGTTGTTATCAATAAGCATTTATCTTGGAAGCAATATATTGACAAAGTAGCTAGGTCTCTTATTAAAGAAATAGTCAAATACATCTTCCAAGACAGATCAACTATTTGCCCATTAACCACAGATAATTTATTACAAATGTTTTCTGCAACCTCACATTGGCTAGTATTGTATAGTTTGGGGACAATCAAGTTATATTATTATTCGTATACATAAACTGCAAAAGTTAACTCTGAGGATTATCTATGACAAACCGAAACTAATATCTTCTGGACTACTATTTATAACTGCTAGAGTACTACCTAACTAGTAAATAATCTTGCAAAGAATGGCAATAATGGTATATAAATCTTTGAACAATTTGGTACCCAGATATGTATGTGATATGTTTATATTAAAGTTGTCAGTGACTAAACAAGTTACTATAGAAGCTCTGTGAGCAATGCATGTGGATACTGCAGACTAAACTAACAATTAGACAAAAGGCTTTACCATACACAGATGCAACTTTATACAATAGTTTACCACTTGAGATAAGACAATCAACAACACTTAATACTTTTAAAATAAGAGCTTATAAGCACTTTTTAGATATAATTATAATGTAGTTCTTTGAATTTGTATTATATATTTATGCACAAGTTTAATTAATGTACAATTTTAATTTGTTAATACGTAGCCAATATGAAAAGCCCAGTGTAAGATTAGATCTGCTAAACTGGTTTCTTTTGAGTATTGTACCTTCTTTAAATAAACTTTATTATTATTATTGTATATAAATTTTCGCTCAAACCCACAACAACTTCAACAACCAACTTTCTACATTTAAGACTAGTTCATTGCAATCATTTTTGGGTAAATGGTCATTGGAGTCTAAAAGGTGTGCGGCCATTGTGTGTGAAGCCTAGAAAATTGACACCTGTCAAATTCGATCTGCTCCTATTAAGGTACTCGAGGTCTGAATGTATTTTTGCCATTTTTCAGATCAGACTTATTCATCTGTTCTGCACACAAGAGATGTTAATTTCTGGTCGTTTTGAAAATATTGATAATAATAAAATTTTGACCAAACGTGTTTGAGAATTCCATCTTCATGTTTGGAAAAAATGGAGCCCAGAATTGAAATCTTCATGCTCAAATAAGTCTATACTGAAAATTCCATCATGTTTGGACTTTCATATTTTCGGTAGAATAAAATTATTTGAGCTGATGAAGAAGATTTGAGATGTCAACTCTGAGAATTGCTCGACAATTTCTTTGTGTGGAAAGAATTTGCATTACTTAACCAGGAAATAAAAATCTATGAGGAAGTTAAATAAAAACGTTTTATATGCATTAAAAACCATTTTATGATCTGGGAGATAACAATTTATATGGCCACACAGCAGCATTTCCCCCTTGGAATATTAACTGCTAGTTAATTAATAATCATGTTGCATTATCACATACAACCCTTCATCACAGCTAGGAGTGTAGTTCCAATCAACATAAACTATTAAATTAGTATCACCATTTCAAGGCACCTATTTCACTATTTGTTTATAATATATGTCATGTACTGATGTTAGGTATTTATAGGCTCAAATTTTGGTTTACAAAACACCTTTCATGAAATCAGAAATATATTTACAGAACAGATAAATAATGCTGAAATTTTCCATTTATAAATACTCTGGGTATATTGATGTACCGTACGTACTTGTCAAATTGACCAGCTGTCAAATGTTAGGAAACTTAGACATTAAAATATTTATCACAGAATGTCAGATTTATTTTCGATAAAATTTTCAAACCCACCCAAATAATTCGAACTTTACCCTGTGTTATATCTCAAGTTTCAATCTGCTAGTAAATCGTGAATGAAATTGCGTTCCGTGCGCACGATGTAAAAATGGTGCCGCCATAATTTCGAACCATTTATATCAAATGTTTAAACATTTTTACACGTAATCACGGAAGGCGAAAAAAGGCGAAATTTTAAAGCGTACCTTTTGTAAATCGTCAAGCTCATCATCATTAAATCCTTCCCCTGCTTCCAGTGTCTCTTCTTCATCGATCGTAGCTTCGTCGTCAATGTCTTGTCCCCCTGCCGGTTCAAAGTCACGTTCGCTCATGGCAACTATACACGAAATTTTAAATCGTAACAAATTTAAAAATAAAATCTGCAGTTGTCGTTTATTTAGGAGATAATATTCCACTTACCTGCGTTATCGATGCTGCCTTCCTTAGATGACTAAATAAAAAAATACATAAAAGTAAAATTCAGCAGATCGAAAAAATTTTCCCCCTTTGGCAAGCGGTCAAACAAAAATACCAATATGCAAAGCTAGCTAATCAACAAAATTGTAATAAAATAAAACTCTTACAATCGCTTAGATTTTAACAGATATTGTTTTAAAAAATCACACGATTATTTTTGCACGTTTTTGTAAAAAAATGTAAAAAATAAGTGTCTTTAATTATTATAAAATCTATTCTACCATTCATAACTTTACCTCCGCTGTTTCCGCCATTTTGAAACACTGATCAACAATATGATACTTGTCAATTTGATTGTCGGGAACGAACTTAAACGACATAAAACGGACATGTCCGATGTTCCACGAATATAAAACGTGCTTTGAAAACACATTTCCGTTTTAAATATTCAAAGCCTGGGTCAGGCCTGGTCACAAAGTTGACTGATATTTGTATATTTTCTTAGCTGTATTTGGTCTTTTTTTATTTAAAAAACTCAGAAAATTTCATGTAAATGGTAAGATTCTAAGTTATATTATAATAGATATAATATGTTTAGATGATCCTGATACACATTTTTGTTAAGGGTGGAGGGAAACGCTTTGATTACCCCAAATATGTCTGGTCTCCTTCTGGGGGATGGTGGTGTGAACCAAGGAACTGGAGAAGAAATACTGCCATCGGGTTTGGAATGATTTTTGCAGCTTGTGTACCAATATGCTGGTTATCATGGCAGTTAGAGGTAATATAACTACAGTAGTAGCAAGATTACCGCAAGAAACAACTTATCACTAACTGTAGCTTAATATAAAATTATTAAAATATTGCCTGCATGCGTCTCCACAGCACCCGTAGTCCAGGGTGGAAAGTTTGTTTTTTGTGTGCCAAAGATTTGATCAAGCTTCAGTAACCAGTATGTGCCAGTGGCCGCACAGATCCTGTTTAAGCATATTCACATGCACCGCCGAGTTGCAATGTCAACATTTTTTTAGTGAGACAGAACAGATACTAAACATTTGATATACGGTCAGTCAGTGCTCAATCAAATTCCCTTTATTAAATGGCTGAAATGCAGACATAAATGGTCGAGAACATTGTAGTGTGCACAAGTAAATAAATTTTTGTATGCCAGTGCACCACACCAGTTCATTTTCCCATAAATGGCATAATTCTGTGCCAAAATGGAGCAAATTTATGAATTTTCCACGCCGAAGATCTTCGACGCAACCCACAAACTTCCACCCTGGCCCATAGTGGAAAACCAATCACACCACACACAAATAGTCACAGCTCCTGTAAACGCCAACATTGGGCTGCAATCAAAAAAGGTTTCTGGCGCCTCTGCTTCACATCGGAACGACTTTTCAGTGTCGCTGGTAACACATTTTACAGCCAAACGGTCGCTACTGAAATGTTTTGTAATTGGCTAAAAACCTGTGAATTTTTCAAAACATTTCTGAGGTTTCTAACTTTTTTGACAAGTTGTATAGTTATTAAAGTTTTGGTTCGTTTTTGGTGAATGTTCGTTTGCAATGATTTATGCAGAACTTTGTTGATAATTATTTGCAGTCAAATTATAACATTAAGCGGTATTGAAGTTTTCAAATTGCATTTCTTGACTTAATTCTTTCAGTTCAAGAATGAAATCATGTTTAACTCACTATAAGCACCAGTGCTCTCCACTTGATGAGTAAAATCATCTGGCGTTAGACAGAGTAAAATAATAAAGTGGGGCGCAGCAGGGCGCAATACAACTCAATATATAAGGTACAAATACATTTACACAATTTGCAATTTGGTGTGTATGATTCGGTAATTCCTAGGTAAAAAATTACTGCTGACGCCACAAAGTCCACAATTCCTCTTCATTTGGTTTAAGCAAAATTCGAAGGGAAAAACAGTTTTACCGGTTTAGAATTCGATAGTTTTCCGGTTTTTATTTTAGCAAAACATCCCAATTAACCTTGTGCAGTAGTAAGCTACAGTTTGCATTTTGTCTTTCCTGCTGACAGAGGTCACCATTTTGTGTAGGAAAGCAAAGGAGAAGAGACCTCTGCCTAGATCTGACACTTCCTCAGTCCATGATCATGGACGAGTCAAACCAGTTTGTAAAACAAGTTCTGAAACCGGTTTAGATAAACAAATAGTACGCATGCTCAGAGCTGAATTATGCTGTAATGACATTGAGCTCGCAACTGTCAAAATGGCGGCTTGCACAACATGGTCATTTTGAGGTTTTTCATGTTGTTTGAAAGTGCTCTAAGTTATGTAATTGATATTTTCAAAGATGAAACTGTGAAAGCAGTGACAGAAGAACAAAAGAAAGCAATCTTTTCTGTTTTATTGGGCCGAGATACATTTGTTTGCCTTCAAACTACGGTAAGTTAGCAAGTTGCTCCCGCAAAAACCGATTTGATATCATGTGGTGAACATCACTCGTTGTCATGGCAATTTTTGCACATGCACGACAGAAAACGTATCAGATCTAGGCAGAGGTCTCTTCTCCTTTGCTTCCCAGCATAAATAGAAACCTCTGCCAGCAGGGAACATTTTGTCTTGTTATCGCCAATAAAAATGAGTAAAAACATTGCAGTATATACCCAGACAGTATATACCCAGCCTCGTACCCAGGCTCTTTCGTAATTAATAGCGTTCAGAGCTCTGGGTGAGCAACTAGGCGCGCGGGGAAAAATCCCCGTGCGCCTAGTTGCTCACCCAGAGCTCTGAACGCTATTAATTACGAAAGAGTCTGGGTACGAGGCTGGTATATACCTTATGTTGACTTATGTCCAAAGATCAGTGCAGGGCCGTAGCGAGGGGGGGGGGTAAAACCCCACCCCCAACTTTTGTAAAATTAACATATTCGGAAAATCGGGTTGGCCATTCCGAAAATTATGGCAATAATATTTAGTATAACAGAATTTCAGTTGTTTAGATAGAGAAAATATTATAAAATGGTATTGTGATCAGTATAAGTTATAAACTGATTTACAAAATCACAGCATTATATAAAATCACAGCATTAAATATTAGTGAGTGGTTTTAAACAAACACAATAATATTGAAGTAAATATTACAGAAAACAAAGCAAAAGGTGAAATGAGAATTATGAAGGCCAAGGATGTCTTATCTGCTCCAGCCATAGACCGAGGCAGATAGCACCAACCGACGGCTTAATAATTCTCGGTATCACGCAAAAACCGAATTTAATAATTGTGTTATTATACACATATATCAGGGCTCTTCTCTTGAAATTCGCTTATCTTTTTTGTTCAAGATAGTACTGGTTGAATATATTTACTGCTGTCTTTGTAGCTCTTTATTGGTGACCTCGCTCAGAATAATTCTCGATAATTCTTAATTATTATTTATCTAAAATAATTCATGATTTCTGATTGCTAACAACCAACTTTTAATATATCAACTCGATGGCTGCCAAGTATAACATTTTTACATAATATTCAACGGAGTGACGTCATAACATTGATATAAAAAATATTACTAAACGCTATGACGTCATGCCAATTACGACCGCCGAAAGAGTGGGCAAATGTGCCGCAAAACAAATGGCGTAATAAAACAATTTTTGAATTAGGTTTTCGCATGATATGAAAAATTATAATTGATCGTTCAGACATTCATGTTCTGCTCAACCTCATTCAATAATTGTTAAATAATTCTACTTTATGTTGTTTAGAGAAGACCCGTTGCTCCATATAGACACATATTCTCACAACGATTTGCGAAACACGCAAAGGTGAGTTTTAGGCCGTGGGCTGTTGTGCGAAAAAGTGCCTAGAAAAGCAATTTCGTGGCACCCTCCTGGGAAATAGATTTTCTGTGGTTCAATTCATAGAACCATAGATGCTTAATTACCACAAAAAGTTCCCAAGCAAAAAAACTTGCCCAACACCGAGAAAATGGGTGATCAGTGATTATCCTCTATTAAATTGTATTACAGCAAGAAAATGTAAAATTTTGTATTCAATTACAACAAAAATGACTTGCATTTATCAGAAAGCTTACAAAAACCTACATATAAGACATTTAAACAGTTTTTTTATATCTAAAATTGTTTTCGAGTTATACGCTGTCAAAAACGCGTTTTTGACCTAGTACCCAGTCCTTATTGCGACATTTTGGTCCAATTTTCACATTTAAAACAGCAATAACTCAAAGACTATTTGAAGAATCAAAAAACTGTTTAAAAGTCGGATATGCGGTTTTTTGTACGTTGTCCGATTATGCAAGTCATTTTTATTGTAGGTGAATACAGAATTTCCCATTTTTGTGCTGTAATACAATTTAATAGAGGATAATCATTGATCACCCATTTTCTCGGGATCGGGCAACTTTTTTGCTTGGGACCTTTTTTTGATAGTGATGTATCTATATGCCTTTCAAATAAATCCCAAACCAAGTATTTCCCACATGGGTGCCACGAAGCGAAATAATTTTGGCCAACAGCCCACGGCCTATTTCTAAAACTGCTCTGTGGAAGTGTCATTTATGATAAGATTTTATCTAGCCACTTAAATATAGATTGTTAGATTTACTGACTAATCGTATTATTTAATTTGTATTGCATTTTTATTACAATATTTTTTCTTTTTTGCTTTGCAGGAAGACGATCCTTCTCTGACTTGACATGTGATATTGAATGTTCATGAAATTTGCAGTGTGGAAGGAGATAATAGCTTTAATTAAAACACTGACTTTTGTACTTGAACAGCATAAATTTAGTGTATTAGCGTCAGGCCTTTATATTAAAGTGACTATTTTATTGTATTATGTGCATGGTTGGATAATTACAGATTTATGAAACATTGTTTCTTACCAATGATAATATGATATACTTGCACATTTATAATTCTATATAATTTATTAGGGTACATATTTTACTGACAGAACTGTGGAAACAGCCAAGTTTATCTTTGTATGTCGTTTTCGCAAACCTTTTACTTGCACTATAAGTTTTTTCTCGTTCTACAGGAATTTTATGCTGATAATGAGTTTAAACAAGCGACGTTTTTATCAACACAGTCGTCAGCAGCCTAGTCCCTAGGCAGAGGATTTGGGACTAGTCTGAGTCGTCAGCAGCCTAGTCCCTAGGCAGAGGATTTGGGACTAGTCTGAGTCGTCAGCAGCCTAGTCCCTAGGCAGAGGATTTGGGACTAGTCTGAGTCGTCAGCAGCCTAGTCCCTAGGCAGAGGATTTGGGACTAGTCTGAGTCGTCAGCAGCCTAGTCCCTAGGCAGAGGATTTGGGACTAGTCTGAGTCGTCTGCAGCCTAGTCCCTAGGCAGAGGATTTGGGACTAGTCGTGAGTCTTCAGCAGCCTAGTCCCTAGGCAGAGGATTTGGGACTAGTCTGAGTCGTCAGATTGCCGAGAGGGGACTGGATAAAAAACTGTGTTTGTGCGTCAGTTTGGTTCAACACATCTGACAAAATGCAAGATTGTTAACTTTTTTGCTTCCTTACACGAGCGCCATGATGCCGCCAAAAGTTTTGGGGTGACGTCCGTGTTGAGAAAATCGTCGCTTGCTTATAAGCCCACTAATCAGTCTACAGGAGGAACATTAGCAATCACTCGTCGTAGGAAAGTAGGTAAACTTCCAGACGAAAGGTCTTCGCTAGAGTATCTGATGCTCGATATATCGCAGTGATATACTCTCCCGTAGAAGGCGCAGCTGTTACATTAAACTGACAACATCACTCTGTAGTAGAAACTAGAGATAATGACTTCTTGTTGAAAAGTAGGTATAGATGAGTGGGTGTTCCCCCTGCAGGCCACCAGTTTATAAATCAGGAATGAATGAACTAGTGAATGATGGAGGTTGACATGAATATCACTTCTACTTTAGATATGGTTCCAATGTCACGTTGAAATGTCGCCTTTCTACTTTAAAATAATGGCACCCAAATAAGATGGGTCATGCGATCTCAAGTACTGTAACTAACCATTTGTAGTCTTTAGTGAAAGCTTCATTTGCTAATAAACTTTCATTAGATTTTTCTAGATTTTAATAGATAACTTATTTACACATTGAATCACTGCTGAACGCCTGAAACCTGGTTATTCACAACACTCGTAAATTCAACGTTCGTAAATTCTAATTGTTCGCGTGAAAGAGACTTGAATAGTCTGCAAAAAGTGAATATCAAGGAAACTGCTTGAGTTTTGGATATCATGTGTGCAGGTTCTCCGAGAGGTTGCAGGAGGCCCCGGCAAAAACCTTTCCAGGAGGCCCTATGACGTCTTAAAATTTTATCAGACCCACTCAGGCAAATTTTCCGCAGAAAGAAAATTTTATGCTTGTGATGTTACTCTGAGTGTATATCCACACCGGGCAAGCTTGAAAATATGCCTGGCCACGGTGGGAATTGAACGTACGACCTTTGGTATTCTAGCACTACACCAACACAGAAAAAATAAACACAATTTTGTTAAAAATTTCCAACTTTTAACAATGATATTTTCGGAAAATTTTCTGTCAGTAGAAATTTTTCTTGAGTGGAAATGGGCCTTAAGATTTATATTCTCGGCAAAGGCCTTCATCCGCTTTTGGGCCCCCGTTTGAGCTGACATATTTGTTGTTGTCGTTGTTGCAAGACTAATGCATTATTGGGGTAGTCGTTCCTCCCAACGAGCGGCTGCTCACTTGCACAAAACATTCCAATCCCAATTTTTTAAAGCTTGACCAATCACAACGCACGTTGCGTGGTCATGTGCGAAGCAAGGTGTGGCCAAGCTTGTGGCGATTTTCCAGAGCTAAATCGTGATTGGCTAACGCTCGGGAATGAATGTTATGTGCAAGCAAGCAGCCGCTCGTTTCGAGGAACGCTAAACCTAACCAAGCAAGGCGGTAAAGGAAGTTACGCTGATGCGGTCGACCTTAGAAGGAGCACTACATGCAAGCACCAACATAAAAGACAATTGTTTTTTTAATCATTTGGCATTTCACGAAACTGCCTGGCGGACCTGCAGAATCAGGCCAATTCCGGAATTGGCCCAGTGTGACGGAAACAAGCAATTTAAGTCGTCTAATCCCATATATAATAAGATATAATCCCATAGCAGATAGCAGTGCAAGATAGAGTACCTTCTTCCGGGTATTTTTTGTAAATTAATAAGACCGCATTTTTCTGCACATGTTGAAATTGACGTAATAAATCGTACCCAGGCGTCTGCAGAGTATTGATAGAAACCTTACCGGATGCAGTCGTGCAGGCCGGCAACACGACAACGACGGCCAAAATAAAGTCATACAACCACTAATTAATATTTTCCCCAAGATTGTTGGCAGGTTCGTTTCATTTTTCCTTTGTACATTCTCCACATTTTAGCTACCATTCTTAATTTTTAGTCGGTGTCAAATATTTTTTCTCTTCCTATCCAAATATTTTTGCCGACTAGTCACGAGACTACACGAAGGCAAGACTATTCTTGGGTTCCAATCACGTGATGGTTTAGCATAATTTGACTCAAAAGGGGTAATTTTATGTAAACATTTTTTTCTCATTTTGTATAAGTTAGTTATGCACGTCTTTGTAAGGCTTTCTTTTAATAAATTTTCTTTACATTTATTAAACAACAAAAAAATGGCTGTCAACGCATTTTATGTAAATGAGTTCTCCATATGTAAATGAGTTATTTTATTATTGAGTTCTCCATGTTCTCCAAAGTAATATAAACAATGTAAAAGTCGTCCTTCACCCTAACCTTGACATATAAAACTCGTGAATTTAGAACGTTCTACCTTACTTCTCGCGTCGTGATAGGCAGGCCGGTTCGTACCGAAAGACGAGGACGTAAAAATATGTAGTTTTCCGATGCAAACAGACCGTTTTCAGTTATTTCATTATACTGATAAATCTCAAGAGTATGATGAGTTTGCATGATTACGAAAAAAATCAAGAATTTTCGCACAAACGGAAAAAACGAAGAATTTTCGCACAGAAAATTATTTAGGACTAAACACCGGGCCTTACGGCCAGTGTAATATAAATTCAAGTACAACTCAACAAATTCCACTTCATTATAAATCCACTTCCATAAGCACGTGAGTGTGGTACGAAACTATATGTAGTAGTAGGGGTCAACCATGAAGGGGGGTCGTAGTATCCTAAATACCTGATAAATATGGATTAAAAATTAATTATGGTCAAAATATTACAAAATACCGGTCGAACGCGCGTAAGAAGGGCTCTGGGTACGAGAATGATGGTAACCCTGCATCAACCTCGTCCCCATACTCTTTCTTCGGGGAAGGAAAGAAGAAAGAGCCTGAGAACGAGGTTGACCCTGCATCTCATTCTATTAACTGTGATGCAGTGTTTAAATCAATCTCGTTCCCCGAGCATGCCCATTCGCAGGTTAAGGGTGGGCATAGCTCTGGAGAAATCGAATTGATTCACGTTGAATTTCCAACGTGAGTTCTACGCATGCTCGGCAATGTTGCAAAATATAAATAAAGTATTTAGAATTTCGCGTCGAAAATTTGATACATTTTACACTGAAATCGAATTGAAAACAACTAAAAAATCTGGGGGAAATATGTACGAAAGCTTCGGTTGGATAGGGATACAGCTACCTGAAAAATACAAGGAGAACTTCGACGTTTCGAGCGAAGGCGCTTCGATTTGTATATTTGTTAGTGTTTGTATACATCGTACTTGACCTTTGCTGATAAATATAATCTCCTCAATAATAAGTATTATATATTTTTATGCTTTAAAATTTACATTTAACTCTCCTGTCAGAATTTAAGGTATACGTAGTGTTAGGTAGTACAGTATATAAAGGTCAAGTACGATGTATACAAACACTAACAGCACAAGTCGAAGCGCCTTCGCTCGAAACGTCGAAGTTCTCCTTGTATTTTTCAGGTAGTTGTATCGCTACCAATCCGAAGCTTTCGCACATATTTCCCCCAGAATTTCTAGTTGTTTTCAATCGATTTCAGTGTAAAAAGTATCAAATTTTCATTTATTTTCGACGAGAAATTCCAAATGCTTTGTTTATATTTTGCTGCAATTGCCAAGCATGCGTAGAACTCACGTTGGAAATCCAACGTACTATCTGCCGTTAGCCAATCACAGGCCTGAATCAATTCGATTTCTCCAGAGCTATGCCCACCCTTAACCTGCGAACGGGCATGCTCGGGGAACGAGATTGTGTTTAAATAGTCTTCGGCAGTACAAAGTACAAACACAAATTATGAGACCACAGAGCTCTAGCAATTGGCTGAGTTGACTGAGTTCTGTTTGGCAGTAAGTTCAGTAACTTCGTGTACCTTTGAGGCAGCTTTCTGTTTCACGATATCCTGGCAAACCACCCGAGGACACTTCACGAGTCTGAGTCATTTGTTCAGTTTGCGCAAACGGTGTGAAGCCGGCGGTGATTTAACACACATTCTATTGTGGATTTGAGACTGTCGTGTACTGTAACTACTGTTGTTTGGAATCAATTTTATTTCATCAGAGATTTCCAGGCTTATATATTGAAACATTAGAGTTGCATTACGTGAGCTGCATGCGATGTGTTTTTTTTTCATTTAAATGGAATACGTGCTTTGATCAACGACTCACTCTGTGTGGATCACGTTTGATCATCAGGCCGCCTGTCACAGCTGCAAAGTGAACTACCCACACATCTACGTTAGCACGATATTTGTTGCCAAGTTTTAATAAAAGACAATAACATTTCGTGGATGCGGAATTTCAGTTTCCGCTTGTAAAAACATGTTTACGCAATATGAGGCACAAAATATTTTGGCGAGTACTATGCTATAGTCATTAGCCACACCGCTCGCTTGCATGCTGACGAAAATTGAGCATTTCTAAATGTTTATTAATATTCCCACCTCAAGGGTGACAAAATTACCAAACAAGACAGAATCTAAACCTCGACAGGCAAAGTTTAGGAAAAGCGAAGGACTAATGGGCAATATATCTTGTTTATTCCATGGCTTACGGAAAGCTGGTATCTGCAAAGACAAAGTTCGGGAAAGCAGAAGTCCTACTCTTGATACAAATACCTCTGCAGACTCGGGGATTCATGAACCTGATCCAAACGAAATACAAGAAAATAGTTTTCTCGATAATTTCATTTCTGCTGTGAGGTATTTAAATTTTTACTATATTATAGCTATATATATAGATATACACATATTAATCTTTCCAAAATTGATTCTCGATAGACTATGACAGTAATATTTCTTGGATTTATTTAATTACATCATTCTGAGAATAGCCGTTTATCAGTGCGGCATCGTCTCGTATTCGTACAATGCTGTTGCAGGGCTTTATTCTTTTCATCTGTTTACACAATCAGAAAGTCGGCCTTTTAATATATGACTAAAATTGCAGAGCAAACCGAAGGAAATCCGATTATTGCGCAATTGAAATGAACTCATTTCGTGAAAATTATCCAAGGTGAGTTTTACGAAATGCCCCGAAAAAGTGAAAAAAACCTGGCCCTGTTCAAACGATGTAACGATTACACTAAAATTATACGTATTTTTGCCAATTTCATTGGCAGAGGAGGTATGTCCGTTTTGTGAATGAATGGAATATTTTGTCCATCGCAATATAAATTTTCTGTAATGACAAAGATTTCTTACAATATCAGGGACAATTAATGTAATAATGATCTTTGACGCCGGCATCACGAATAATTCATGACACACGAAGTCACGAACACAGAAGGAAATCTCCATCGTGTCAGTCTTGATGTCCAGCTTGTGAGCTTGATGTAAGAAATGAATGTCCGGATCGGATTTCACGTTAAATTTTAATAAATTTCTCTTGAAATATAACTGATTCATTTGAGAAACTACAGTGATTTTTATACTCATTTCGTGAAGTCACAGTATTAAACACGGCAATGCATTATATAGTGAATAATCAAAAAAATATTCTATATGAAAACGATCTATCCATATTTAATATTTCTAGTGCCATTGGCATTGAGTTTTGTTTGTTCAAGATCACGTTCCGGTCATTTCGTATGTTTTACTGAGTGTTAGGCTAACATTATAATCATTCCGAATCATCCATCCCCCTCCTCCCCCCCCCCCCCCCCCCCCCCCCCCCCCCCCCCCCCCCCCC